TCTTTGAGAGACCCCCGATGACCCAACCCCACATCAAAGGAAAATCCTTTTCAGATTCCAGAGATAAAAACCTGATTCCTACAACACATAATGCTTTTGAAGTGCTTTATCAAATGATGAGACAAATCCGGGAAAATGAAAATGCAGACAGGAAATTATGAGAAACATTTTTGTTTCCTGTACATGGTTTTCAATTTCCTTTTGAATTGCATCCTGTATCAGACACACCTGGTGCCCCCTAAGACTGAGAGAGAGAGAGAGAGAGAGAGAAAGAAATAGAGATGAGTGGTCAGAGAATGCTGCATATTTCCCTTTGACTGTAATTCCAACATAAAGAAAGCTCAGATCATATGTTTTTGCTCTGTGGTAGAGTGTTAGATCATCAGAATCATAATAAAATCTCAAATCTCTAAAATGGTAACTTCATAGGAGAAATTGAAATGTTTAATGTGCGTTAATGTAATTTTTATTCCAAGGAATGTTGGTCCAAATGTAAAAGGCAGCAGGCCTTTGACATACTTTGAAATCGTCATCTGCCCTTTACACACACACACACACACACATCATCTAAACCGCTTATCCTACTGGGTCACGGTGGGGTGCTGGAGCCTATCCCAGCTGTCATTGGACGATCTGCCCTTTACATTATGTCAAAATTTCATCATGAATAAACCTTATAGAAATTGTCCAGAATTACTTGGAGTAAATAATTTCTACATTAACATGCATTAAAAATACAGACGACTGGGGTCCAGGACTTTGACTAGGCCATTCCAAAATCTTCCTTTTCTTTTGATCCATTCAGAAGTGGACTTGCTCTTGTGCAAATCTTTCTACCTGAGCTTCAGATCATGGACTGATGACAGGATATTTTCCTGTATTTTCCTGTAATTCTTCCATCAATTATGACAAATTACCCAGTCCCTGCATCCCCACCATCACACTACTACCATGTCCTTATTGTGGAATGCTATGTTAGCTTTACACAAGATGCTATGGGACTATTGTCTTCCACAATGTTCCACTTTCAACTCATCAGTCCACAGAACATCATCATTCCAAGAGGCTTGGAGTTCATCAGGTTGTTTCTTGGCAAATATGATACAAGCCTTTATGTTCCTCTTGGTTAGCAGTGGGTTTCACCTTGCAACTCTGCCACAGACAGCATTTTTGCCTGGTCTCTTTCTAATGGTGGAATCATGAATGCTGCCTTTGTCTTGGCAAGAAATGGGTAGGGGGCAAATATAATATATAAATGTTCACACAATGTAAAGAGCATCTATTGCTCTCAAATGGTCTAAAAATATTAAAATGGTGTTACATAGTTTGGATAAGACAGCAATGTTATACTTGAATAGAATAGGATACAGTCTGCTTTAAAAGACTGCTTTAAAAACAAGCTGCAAAAACAACAGTGATCAGTGGTGGTCAGTGACTCTCTATACAAGATTACAGCCAATCTGCTGTTTATACCTTAAGAATGACACCCCTTGCACCTTCTAAAATAGGCTTGAAGAGAGATTATCGTGATCTCTGGACCTCAATCTGAATGCTAGCTCAGAAAAAAACTCGCCTGGCTCCTTACTCTCTTCACATCTTCACCCCTCTCCCTGTCTTTATCACATAATCTCTCTCTCTCTCTCTCTCTCTCTCTCTCTCTCTCTCTCTCTCTCTCTCTCTCTTTCTGTAAATAGCAGAATCAAGCTCAGATCATTTAATATACGCAGCAAGATGTTACATACACTATATGGACAAAAGCATTGGTACACCAACAGGAGCTTTTATGACATCCTATTCTAAATCCATACGGAGTTGGTCCCCCCTTTGCAGCTGTAACAGCTTCCACTCTTCTGGGAGGCTTTCTACAAGATTTTGGAGAGTGTCTCTGGGAATATTTGCTCATTCATCCAGAAGAGTGTTTGTGAGGTCAGACACTGATGCTGGACAAGAGGCCCTGGCTCACAATCTCCATTCTAGTTCATCCCAAAGGTGTTTGATGGGGTTGAGGTCAGGGCTCTGTGTGGGCCAGTCAAGTTCTTTCATACCAATCTCACCCAGCCATGCCTTTATGGACCTTGCTTTGTGCACTAGAGCTCAGTCATGCTGGAACAGTAAAGGGCCTTTCCCAGACTGTTCCCACAAAGTTGGAAGCACAGAACTGTCCAAAATGTCTTGATCTGCTGAAGCATTAAGATTTTCCTTCATTGGAACGAAGGTGTCTAGACCAACCCCTGAAAAACAACCCCATATCATTATCCCTCCTCCACCAAACTTTACAGCTCCAAAAAAACTGAAGGAGTAGGTAAAATGCAAATGAAAACAGATTATCAAAATGCATGCCTGCACTCAAGCTTGGATATAAAAGGATCATCCAGGAAAGGCAGAGTTCTTTATGACCAAGGATGGGGTGAGGCTTACCACTTTGCTAAAATTCATCAGCAAAAAAAAATCCACCAATTTAGAAATAACATTCTAAATAACATTAACAAGATTTTAGGTATTTCAGCCTCTACAGAGCATCATATCAACAAAAGATTCAGAGAATCTGGAAAAATCTCTCTGCATAAAGGCAAAGGCTGAACACCACAAATGAATGCCTGTAACCTTCAATCACTCATTTTTTGTGGTGGATATCATGACATAGGCAGTGGACACATGTATTGTGGTCTGATGAGTCAACCTTTCAGATTAATAATTAAAAATAGTGGACGTCATGTTCTCTGGGCCAAACAAGTAAAGGACCATCCAGACTGTTACCAGCATAAAGTTCAAAAGCCAGTGTCTGTCATGGTATAGGGGGTATTAGTGGGTAACCTGCCCATCTGTTAAAGCACAATTAAAGCACTGCATAATCAGAGAGTGTGGATGCTAGACTGGCCTGTCTGCTGTCCAGAACTGTCTCCCTTTGAAGATGTGTGTCTTATTAAGCTCAAAATACAACAACAAAGGCCCTTTATGGTTGCACAGCTAAAGACTTGTATAGCAGCAGAATGGCAAAAAATTCCACATCTGTTTGTGTTTTCAGTACTCAAGTGTTTATTAAGTCATATTAAAAGGAAAGATGATGTAGCATAGTGGTAAACATGCTGCTGTCCTAACTTTTCTGGAGTGTGTTGCTGGCATCAAATTTGGAATGAGCAAATCTTTACAAAAAACAATTAATTTCATATTTTAAAACATAATATTATATTTTGGTACCATTTTTCAAAGGTTAACAGGTTTTACTAATCACAGCTTTTTTATTAGCATTTCACATACTTTTCCTACTTTTCTGGAATTGTAATAAACAGGGGGTGTACAACATAACAGAAACGCCACATGAAATACTCATACTCATTAGCCATTTTATTAGAAACACCCTGTATGTGGGTTTAGAATTACTGATTGTAGTGTATTGATGCACAATTTACTAACCTTAAAACTTCTATAATCGGAAAAAGATCACCATAGTAGCAACGCTGACCAGATGATGTTTGGGTGATGGACCATTCTCAGCACAGCAGTGACAGAAAAATAGTGCTGGTATATCAGGATGTATTGTACTGGTAAGGCTGTATCAGGTCAAATGCACAAAGCCTTGGTGTGGATTTTTGTATGACCAGGTTTTACTCTTGGCTCCTGATTCGATCATGCAGGTTTCTCCTCTACAGCGTGCAATACTGCAACTCACTCTTGACCAGACTTTTTGTGAATGTAGTTTGTCCTTCGTGACAGACCTAGAATCCAAAAACATGACTCATCTTCAATCTTCCAATATTTACCTATTACTTCATTCCCTTCACTAGCTTCATATAGCTTCCTACACCAGATTTAAAACCAAGATTCTTGCCTACAAAGCCATAAATAGACCAGCTCCTCCCTACAGGATGGCAATGGTTAACACACTCACTGTACCTCAAGTCTTCAAGTTTCAAGAACCACCATCCTTCAAGATGAAAAGAAGACAAGCATCAAGACTCTGATCTGTCCTGGCACCCAGGTGGTGGAATGAACTTCCACTTGCTGAACAGTAACAAAAAGAATGGTAATTAAATGCTTATTTTGTATGTTGTCTTGTTTAAGCCCAAGGTCTCTAAATAACAAAAACCAAACAAAAATACAAACAAAAAAACAAACAAGGAAAGAAACATGCTAAGCTGTAGGGTTTTCAACTTTGTGCTTCTGTTTTTCAACTGTGCTTTTAGATCAACACTTTGATAATAAACTTCATAAATCAAACATTGTCTGTGAGCGTCTGGTTCTGTCTGCCACCGTTACATTTATAAAGAAATCTGTGAGTGTAAATAACTTTTTAAAGGTCTAACCCCTTAAAATCCCAGGCTTATTAGAAATAAAGGTTCTGTGCAGGTACATTTCTGTTCATCAAGGTACAAACAATGTAAATGTGCCCTCAGAAGTACAACAGTGGTTTTAACGTCCAACTGTGTACCTTAAATAAGTTTTCCCAGGTGAAAAATACATATTTGTACCTTTTTATAATCTAATGTTTTATAACATAACAATGAAATAAAAAGCCTGGAGATGAGACGGGGTGTGTGGAGTCAATACAACTTAGAAAATATAACTTCAGTTGATTATGGTACACTTATGTTCCCTGACTAAAGGTACTGAGATGTACCCTGAGAGGATACCACCCCAGTGACAGTTTCATAAGTTTTGTTCTGAGAGTGTAAGGCTTTTACATTTTGCAGTGTACCAATTTAAGGGTCCTTCCTAGATATGGAGGAACTTTGAAATTGTTCTTCACACCCACACATTTCACTTCCACAAATCTCATGTAGGGTTCTCTCTAAAGAGCCATCCACTGAAAGGAACTGAATGTGCCTCTTCAGTAGCATCACCCTAAAAAATCCTTTGGCACCTTTAATTTTCAGAGTGTAGAAAAGTTTTAAGTTGCGATTTCAGAGAAGACACTGAAGAAATATGGCAGAGATTTTAAGCAAGTGAATTTCATAAACTGGGAGCTATGACAGTATCTCTCTCTCTCTCTCTCTCTCCAGGTGGTATTTGTGAAGGAACAGCAGCAGGCTCTGATGGGCAAGCTGGAAGAGGAGGGTTTTTCACTCCAACAGGAGCTTTCTGCTTCTGGACTGGAGGTACTAATAACACTGCTGCTTCTCTTAGCGCTGTTCATCACTGTGTATTTTAGCACACCGATGATGTTTTCATCAGTGTATATTTTAGCACAGTCCTGTCGGTGTGATTAAATGATCACACATTTATGCTATTAACAGCAGCCCATGTTGGTCATGTGCTGTTAACCTATATGATTTCATTTAGAAACCTCACACACTGTACAATTTCTAGACCAAAGACAAGTTTAAATAAAATCAAACTACCTTTGTTTACCTGCACTGTGACTCTCAAACCGGTACATTCTAATCAGCTGTAGAATGATTACAGCTCTGTGGTGGAGTGTTATGTGATTATGTTGCTTTGAAGCCTTTGCCATACAGTGATCTTGTCTGAGATTTGCACTCCTGAATAGCTGGTGTGCTTAGACAGGCTATAGGCAAAATCAGAATGTCTGTAAACAAAATTTGGCTGTAGTTCCATGTGGAAGTATCCAGTCACTGTGGCAGAGCTGAGGTTTTGGTGCGATTTACTATAAATTCAAACAGAACAGACAAAACATTGGCAATAATAGTAAAATCTTGTGTTTGAGGTTCTAATGTTAACATTAAAGAACATATTGGAATGTACTTATGTTTCTTCCTGTTTTCCAGCTTTCAAAATCTGGTAGAGCTGCTTTAAGTAGTATTAAACCCAGTGAAGGATCCTATGTGTTTGGTAACATTTGCAGCTAAAGCCATTTTAGCCAATCTTTTACTGTTTCAGATGAAGATGATTGCTAAGCACTATTACGTGACCAACAGGTGCACCAGAATGTACAGTAAGATGATATGTAGCCAGTAGCTAGTTTACTAAAATGAGCATATGGCATGAGGCCGTCCCTCGGGCCCCGAAGACAGCCATGAGAGCAGTTCTCGCTCGCGGTTCTCCTCTCCCTGCCGTCCTTGCTTGGAGTTAGCATGGTATAGGGCAGTATATCATTTCATATCAGCCAATAAATTCCATTTACTAGCAAGCAAGATAGCTAATTAGCCAAATCAGACACTTTATAGTGACATATAATGACCATTTTACTTATTTTTTTCTGTTTTCCATCAGTCGTGGTTATTATAACAGTTCCAGCTTTCTCTCGAGCAGGTGGAAAATGAACTAGAACCATAAGTTCAGTTGGTTCCCAATTGGGTTGGTTATTGTTTTCGAATGTGTGGTGGAAAAAACACCCTTCATTAAACTCTGAAACGAAATGTGTGGCTGGTGCAGTTTCATGAATATATGACAGAAATAGTTGAGGCTATCGACCTGAGAAAATCAGTTTAAGAAGCTTTGTATTTTTCCAATATCTTTGTTAAATAATGCGATTAGTACAAACTCCTGTACCACTGCAGCACTACCTGCACTGTCCATCCTGAAGTAAGCTTTCTGCTGTTGTGATGTAATGATGATTTTTCTTACAGTGTGCAGTGCATTTACACTTTATGCAATATAATGATCAGATATGTTGAATAAAAGTAAGATCTGCCTTCCTACACATGGTCCTCTTCCACAGGCCAGTCTGGACACTGCAGCAGTGGATGAGTGTGTAGCCGCTCTGGTGAGGGTGCCGCAAGAGGTCCTGACCGCAGACTGCCCTTACACTGACCTCAAACTGTCCCTCATCACTGCCTTTCACTCCCTATCAGACAAATACACACAACGCCTGGAGACAGTGCACAACAGACTGCTGGGCATGGACAGGTGACACATGCACATCGTTTACAATGTGAAGCAGTAAATAAACAATATAAAATTGATAAAAGAAAAGAGCATGTGTACAATACAAGAAAGTAAAAACAAATATGTAAAAATTAAAAAAGAAATTCTGAACATGAAAGACTGAAAAAATAAAACAGATCAAATACATTCAGTGAAGGAATAATTAAGGTATAAGAAGCCGGGTTTCCATCCAGCTGTTGAATTCAAGTCAAGTAAATAGCTGAAATGTCACAAAAATAATTTAGGCTGAGTTTCCATCAGCTCTATACAAGAGAACAAGTCCCTCTACCTCATGTCCATAACATTTTTGAGAAATATGGACAGAGTCTACAGAGAGCAGCTTCTTGTTACTGTTCATATCTTGTCATGTCTTTGTCCTATTTTTGTTCAAATACAGGTCAAAGTAGATTTATAAATCATTTTCTCTTTATATTTGCATAACATCCTAACTTTTTTGGAATTGGGTTTGTATTTTCCTGTCTTTTTCCCAAGCCTCTTGTTAACCACAAATTGAAACTAGCATGGACCACATCTCATTTGCAAGCTCATTTGCTGACTAACAAACAAGGCTTTGTTCATTATTAGCATTGTTAGCAGTTCTGGATGAAGTTCTGGTAAGAACTGCTTCTCCAGAGTTGAAGTACCAGCATCCTCCTGTGTTTTTATGTGTGTTTACTAAGCAGCTTAGAATCTCCAAAGTAATAGAGCTGGATTTAAGTGAAGTCTGGCTACATGATGTTGAAGCATTGATGCATATTAAAAGATGAAAGCAAATGCAGGAAACAAACATACAGCCATATTCACTAAGGAGCACACAAAACCTTTAGCGCATGCTAAACTTTAATGAGCACAGCTGGCACTAGTTTTGTGACTGATTTAGCATGACTTGCCATTTAAATTATGTCAAATGCAAACTTGCTAATTACCATTGTGGTAATATATAAATCGATTTAGAGCGTATTTTGACCAGTTGTAGACATGGATGAGTCAAACTACTAAAAAACAAACTGTTTGGGAATCACCACAAAGAAAATAAATGCAAATGCAACTAACAAGAGATCTGTGAATGAGCTAATACATGACAAGTTCTGGAGAGAAAAAGGCAAGGCAAGGCAAGATGAGGCAAGTTTACAACCCCATTTCCAAAAAAGTTGGAACGCTGTGCAGAATGTAAATAAAAATAGAATGCAATGATATGCAAATCATGTAAACCATATTTTTAAAGGAAAATGCTACAAGTCAAGTCAAGTCAAGTCAAGTCAAGAGGCTTTTATTGTCATTCCATCTATGTACAAGTACACAATGGAGCGAAATTACGTTCCTCCAGGAACAACACGGTGCAACAAGGAACAAAAAGTACAAAGTACAAAAATACAAAAGTACAAAGTGCGAACGTGCAGACAGTGTGCAAACAAGGATTAAGCTAGAAAACAATACAATAAATACAATAAATTAAACAGACATTAGACACAGTTAACAGACCAGACAGTGTAGCACCGACACAGCACAGATTTCTGGACATGAGGTAGTGGAATAAGGTGCAGACATTTTTAACGTGATGTGATCTGTAAGTTACGTCAGATAACATACATATACATAGCAGTTACAGAGGTAGTAAAACAATTACAAGTACTGAGTAGTAAAACAGTTACTGAGGTAGTAAAACAGTTACTGAGATGACATCAATATATCAAAGATGACATATCAAATGTTGAAACTGAATTTTATTGTTTTTTGAAAAACTTTTGAATTTGATGCCAACAACACGTTCTAAGAAAGTTGGGACGGGGGCAACAAAAGGCTGGTAAAGTTGTGTAATGCTAAAAAAACACTTGGTGGTTGTTTGGCAACAGGTCAGTAACATAATTCGGTATAAAAAGCATCCCAGAGAGGCTGAGTCTTTCAGAAGTAAAAATGGGGAGGGGTTCACCACTCTGTAAAGCCAAATGTGACCGGAGTGTGTGTCGAAGGAACAAATTCCTAGACAACACCCCACACAGCATACCCAGGCTACGCCACCCCAGTTTACTGGGTAGGGGGCCCCATGCTGGAATATTCAATTAAATGAGTTAGACAGAGCTGTTCCACAATATCTACAATTTATTTATTAACTTTCAGTAAAAATAATTTAAGATCTGTCCACGAAATTCTCAATGTAACCATAAAGAGTAACAAGAGAAGGAAATAAGAAACATGGGAACCAGTCGTAATTGTCACAGTTTAAGTATTAAAGCCAAGTGCTCAGAAGGGTACAAAAAAATCAATACACCTTCAAATCTAAATAAACCAATACAACCAGAATTGCACAACACTTCAAAAAAAGAAATAAATAATGTCAGCACAACAAACAAAACACCACAAACTGCACATCCTGTCACAAAAAACAAAATCCCAAAGTAATATCAGCGCTGAGTGATGAAATGGTACACTTCAAGAGCACAAAAACATAGAAAAAAATAAATAACTCAAAATGCTATAATTACGGAGAAGGAATATTATCAGAGTCTCACTATAATGAGTAATTAACCCACACGGTCTTTAATAAAACTTCTACCATCAATAGGGACTCAAGTGCAAATATTGTTCCAAAATGTAAATATAAAAATAATACCAATGGACAGCTGAACAGCAAATCTAAAAAAACAACACATAAAATACCCTAAAATAGGCGAACAAACGTTATTCTTGAATTGTTGCACTATTTGATCCTGTTTTACACAGAGTGGTAAAGGTAGTTGAGTCAGTTAATCACTCCAGGTTCTCAATTTGCAGAGTCCACTCCCCTCAACAGTGCAGCTCCTTAAAATGCATAGTATTAGAGTGAGGAGCACTAAAACCAACTGTAGTACCTTTTGTGCATGTAGTAGGCATTTTAGCACCACCACAAACAATACACGTAACATAAGCTATAAGAGATAATTTAATGGTCTGTCTCTAGCTTTGATGACTGGCTCACTATCTGTCATACTATTATAAGTTTTTTTTTCTTTCATGGTCTAAAGCAGGGGTCAGCGACCCAAATGATAAGAAAAGCCATTTTTTTCTTTTCAATAAACCACTTTGGGAGCCATTTCTTAGCTATAAATATGTCTCAATATGTGCTAATGTCCGAGTATAGGCTAAAAATATAAACAAAAATACAGACTTACCGGCAGGAAACTTTTCCACAAATGTAGAATAGTTTTTTGTAAAATGTCTCTCAACATTTGACTTTTTAGGAGGCTAAAGTCAGCTTCTTATTCGCCAGCTTCTGGTTTGAATTTTCCCATTCCACCTTAAGTAGTGCCTGAGGTGCCAGAATGTAAATGCTGCACCATTTAAGGTGGAAGGGGAAAATTCTAACAAGAAGCTGGCAAATGACAAGCTAGCTAGTGTCTAATGAAAAGGCAAAGAGAAAGACTTAAGACGAATATTGATAATTTGACTTATTTGCATTTATAATCACCCCAGTTGGTTTCCTGATACATTGAATCTTGAGAAACTGTCAAAAAAACTTTAAAAAGTTGCAAAGCTGAAGCCAGGTGAGATTGCTGTCTGTGTTGCTATGTGACTAGTAGTCTGCGTGCCAATCTTCAGGGTTAAAGGTTAGTGAATTAGCAGTTATAGGCTACAATAACTCCAGTGTTTAAGACAATTTATTGTTAAAACTGTGTTTGAATGATCAGCAATCTAATTCTGCTGTGGAACCACAACAGGGCAGTAAAAGAGCTCCGGAGCTGCATGTTGCTGACCCCTGGTCTAAAGGAGCTCCCATGCATTCTTCACTGCAATCCTCTTCTTCTGATCTTTTGGTTGCTTTATTTGGTTTCATATTTGATAAATCAGTGTTATAAAACTACACTGGAAGATCCATCTCTAATCTATCTGCTTCTTTTCTTCTTTGTCCCAAAGCTACTCATAACGATTGTCATCAGTCATATTGATACAACTATTGTAGTTTATAGGAGCCCTGAGTAAATGAATAGATTAATAATAGAATAGAAAGAATTAATAGACTGATTTACTGATGTTGTACTTTGTAATCTAATCATACCTTTTTTTACAAATTCCTTACTACTTTTTGTAATCAGATTATGTAATCCAGATTACATACAGTATAATCTGTTACTAACTAACACTCTAAACAGTGCAGCATCTTCCATCATGTTGGTGGACTAACCAGTTATTTTTTGATGTTATAGATCCTTCAAACAAATCAAAAACAGTTGCTGAATATCAGTGTACTGCATCTAGTGTATATCTGAGTAATTCTTTTTGATTGCCAGGGTATGACTCCCGCTAAAATCACAAGCTTGTTTGATTTTGGCAATGCGGGAGTGATATGTCACGAGATATGTTTGTATAACGGCCTTGTACACTGCCCATCACCCTCTTCCTCACAGCGCACAGCTAATTAAGGTGTCTGACCACCGTCTCAGCTTCCCCGTTGCTCGTTAAGCCCAATTAATAGCTAAGCTCAACTCTGAGGACCTGCGAGAGGGGGCTTCAAAACGACATCCACATCACAGAGTCTAAAGAGCAAGCTCTCCAAACTCCCCATGGGGGGCTGATGACTCACACACTGCTATCTTGCTGCACAGGACAGTAAGGCAGGGAACAGCAGGAAAGATGATAAATAGGGACAGGAATCTGTAATCAGGAAAATTGGAGGGCCTGATTATCGATATGATTTGTGATCAAACCCCCCCCGCCATGCTGTGATGATGTTAGAGCTGTCGAGTTTGTGTGATATGAATTTTCTCAGTGGCACTTTGAATGAATGACACTACTATAATATGTGCTGTAAAAGCTATGCTTCAGTGACAGAAGGGTATTTTACTGCTGTGTGGCACATTGAAATCAGGCAACTACTCATCCAATATAACTTCAGCTAAAGTTCAGTTTGATCTGGCCAAAAATATCTTATTATCATATTCATGTCTATCAGTTTGTATCAGTTTAAAGCCCTTTTCTCTATGTGAGTCAGTCCTAGTTTTTGTAGATCTCCACTATGAGTATGATCATTTTCATTTATGGCATTTGGCAGATGTTCTTATTGAGAGTCCCTATGTTGCTATGTTGTCTTATATTTATGCTAGTACCAATATGCCTGAGACAGAGACCATCAAGCTGAGGCACTGCCAGAAACAGAAGCCAGTGCTGATGCATAAGCACTATTGTAATATTATGATAATGGTACCCCTAAGAGAGTTTAGACACAACACGCCTCTGAAACAGCCATCATATCTTTTCAAAGTGTCATCCAGCACTACTGTGCAGCTCAACACCCTTAGACGATAAGGGGCATTTACACTGGACCACCGTGGAAATAGACACATTGTTGTGTTTTAGTTCTGGTTTGCTTAGTTCACACTCACATATTTAATATCGAACCAAATGATGTGAAAAAAAAACATATTGTATGTCTTGTGATATTCTCAAGCAGGGGTTCCCAACTTTTTGAAATCTGTGGCCCACACAAATGACCACAAAAGCTTCTGTGAGCCACAAGAAGATTTTACTGATCTGGTCGCTTTTCACCTAATGAGATGGCTGAACTTGTTTGGCAGCTACTGAGTGCTGGATGTCAGGCTGAAGAGAGGAAAGTTGCAAATTGGGTTCTGGCTCAATTCAATTCGCTTTCAGTCTGATATACAGTGGCTGCATCATTTGTAGATGGCTCAGCCCCAGGATTGTTCCTTTTGGAAGACTCTTTTAACTATTTATCCAGCATGGAAAAATTCCATATGATTAAAAAAGTGAAAAGTTTTACATTGTCTTGCTCTGCAAATATAAACATAACCTGCATTTTGCCAGAACAGTCACTGAGCTTGATATATTATATGTGCTTGATACATTTTTTTCTTCTTTGCAAATAATCTACAATAATTGTCTTATTTAACATTATGTTTGGTTAAATGTCTATAATGTAACAGCCAACGGCCCCCGAGTAGTACCTCCATGACCACTATTCTAAAGCTTATTAAGAGAGGCTAAGCACTCGTGAGGTGAGATAAAATCACTGCAACACCTTGAGCGGATTATTGATCTTTAAATGTCAAAAACTTGCCGCATAAATGTATAATATTGTTGATGTATGAGGTCAAATGTATGTATGACAAGTTTGTTATAAAGGCCTTGTTTAAAAACCAAAACAACCTGTTTTCTAATTTTCAATTCACAAAGAGATTATAAAACACGTTCCCTTGTCAAAACAGCTTCAGAAACTCGTCTGTTGCATTGCAACTCAGGTATGTTCAGAGAATAAAGAGCTTGTTCTTTATTAAAAATTGAGCTCAGACTAGTCACTAGGTTTTTACTTGATCTGCACAAATCTGGTGCAAAACGAGTCCTAAGAAATAGACCTTAAACAATCATTCAATATTTCTTGGAATTTCAACATCATATAGTCACCAGATGCCAATCAAATACAGTGCAGAGCTTGCATTGTTAAAACAGCACATGTACAGCTCTGACTCAGAAGTGCTTGACTGACTGTTAGGATACTTCACAAGCATGTACCCTGGGGAGTCATAGGTAGAGCTGCATCACCAGTTATGATATGCAAGAAAAAATCACACAAGCAAAGGTTTTCTGATTGACATGAGATTTTGCAAACTGCTACTGTGTGCTATGATGGCTCAGATCCTATAAGACTGACATCATATCTGAAAAAGACATGGCCACAATCAGCCAATCAGATTTCAGCAGGTGTTTGACCACATAGTATTGGCCAATCACCACAAAACTTAAATCTGCTCACTTTTGAAATTTAACAGGTATCAGCCACTGGGAGCACTACGCATGCCTTTCATCTTATGTACATGCAGCAAGGCTCAAGTAACTCATGTCTGTAAGCCTGATACCTTTGTCAATAAAAGTAATTTAGTAATTTCTATAATCTATATAGATCTATATAATCTATAATTTCTTTTCTATAATTGCCCATTGTTTTAAAACACACACTTTTCAAACTAGCCTTAGGATTTCAGACTAGAAATGTCAAAATTTCTTTATAAAAAATTTCTTTATAAAAAATTTAGCATTATTATTTCATATATATATTTCATATCATAATTTCATTATCAAAAAGTTATCAATAAAAATTAATACAGTATGGCCAAAACATATTGTGTGGGCAGGTCTTTCCCACTCAGTTTAATAAAACTCACCCATGCATTGCCTAATTGTAACCAAACCCTGGCATAAACACATTGAAGATGTTTACCAATTTTCAATTTAATTGGTCTGTGTGAGGTGCTACAACATTCAGGTTAACTGGACTTATTGGCTCCAAGAGTGAGTTACCATGTGCCCTGCTGCTGAGTGAGTTTTTCTACACACAATGATGGTTCCTCAGGGGTTCTTTAGTAAAGAAAATGGTTCTGTATAAAACTGTAAAGACTCAAAGAACTCTTTGCATGATTAAAGGGTTCTTTGCATGGTGAAGGAGTTCTTCAGATTGATGGAGAATGTGCTATAGATGATTCTATCTAGAACCTTTTTGAAAAGGGTTCTGTATAGCACCAAAAAGCATTGTTCTGTTGTTACCTTGTCAAAAAGGTTCTATATAGAACCATCTACAGAACCGTTTTCTTTGCTGAAGAACCCTTATAGAACCATAATTTTCAAGTGTGCAGTACAGCTTTGTACTAACAACTAGCAACTAAATATGCAGATTTAATTTAAGTCTATAAACCTGTATTGCTTATTTATTACTTTAATTTGTTGAACATAACCATATTAAGGGAAATGAATGTATGAATAATACATAATGCTTCAAGAATTATTTATGAAATGATCAAATACTGTGGGGTTTATTTGAATTTGTTGTGTAAATATTGTTAACACACTTACTTAACACAGTTGTGTGGAACCACTTGACAACATTTTTAAGAAAATTATACTTTATTATACATTTTATTTGCGAATGGCCTAGGAAGGCACTCCATTCTAGAGATACAGGACATTAGCTTGTAGATGCCACTTGCCCAGCAAAATCCCAGTGCTGAATTTATATCTACAGTCAGTTTTGAATTAAGACCCACATATAAAGCCAGCTGGATACAAATGAAACACTATGAGTTAATTAAACTCTGGGGATTTTGATATGGGAGCAAAAAAAAAGGTTCAGTGTTTTACTAAGCATACTGTATTGACATTACATAATGTTTTTTTTTTATTCTCGTGGTATGTGTGTATCAGGAACTGTGGCTGGTGTGAAGAGGACCACCTGCGTTTCCTGCACACTGTGTGCCAGTATTGTCCACAGCTGAGGAACCACAGAGGCCTTTGTATGGACATGCTCCACAGAGTTTTACCCCACATCCCCACGGCAGAGCTGGTCAGTCCACACTTCCCCACGCATCATCTCTCTGTGTGCATCCTTCCATGGGAATAGGAGGTTTGACCCCCCTTTGCTCTACTCTTCTGGGAAGGTTTTACACTAGACGTTGGAACATTGCTGTGAGGATTTGATTGTGTTCAGCCACAAGAGCATTAGTGAGGTCAGGTACTGATGTTCACACAAATGAAGGGGTGTCTGGATACTTTTTGACATACAGTGTACACTGTTTGTCATTAAACTCAGGCTCTTTCTATTTGTTCCTCATCCTTCTGCTTAGTTTAGCTGCTTTTCTTTCATTCAACATCTCTGCCCTGCAGTTAGCTGGGGCAGAAGCTGGGGTTAGTGCAGTGCCAGGTCATCTTCTCATCAAATGGATGCTTGATCTCTTTGTCTTTCTTTTCCTCTGAGCTGTGCCCTCGAAAACTGGCTGTTCCTCACTCTTTTTCCATCTCCTTATGTTGCCTCTCTCTCTCTCTCTCTCTCTCTCTCTCTCTCTCTCTCTCTCTCTCTCTCTCAGGCCAAACGCAGTCTGCTTAAAAGGTTGCAGTGCTGAGATAATTCACATTGTCTAAATTGAATTTTTGATAGTAATTGCTCTCTTTCTCTTTTTCGTCTCATTTTCTTTATTTCTGTCTCTTCCTGTCTCTTTTCTCTCTGTGGTTCTTTCTGTCTTTTATCTCCCTCTTCTTCTCATAACTTTTCTCTCCTTTCTTTCCTCTATCCCTCTCCTCTCCCCCTCTCTCTTCTCCCTTTCTCTTTCTTCTCTCTCCTTCTTTCTGTTTGTCTTTTTCTCTCTCCATCAATTTCCTCTCCTTTCCATTATTCTCTCATTTCTCTCTCTCTACCTCTGTTTTGTTTCTCTCTTTTCTCTCTCTTTCTATCTTCCCTTCCTCTCCCAGTGTCTCTATTTTCTTTCTTTACTCCACTAGTCACTTTTTACCTTTAATTTGATCTTGGGCCATCAATCACTTACCCACTTACTCTGAAAATACACTATATGGACAAAAGTATTTGGACACCCCTTCTAATTATTGAGTTCAAGGGTTTCAGCTACACCCATTGCTAACCTGGAGGATAAAATTAAGCACATAGCCTTGCAGTCTCAATAGACAAACACTGGCAGTAGAATGGGTCGAATTCAGGAGCTCAGTGACTTTAAACATGGCACTGTCATAGGATGCCACCTCTTCCACAAGTCAGTTTGTGAACTTTCTGCCCTGCTAGATCTGCCCCTGTCAACTGTAAGTGCTATTATTTTGAAATGGAAGCGCCTAGGTGCAACAACAGCATAGCAACAGAGCAGTAGACCACGCAAACTCACAGAGCAGGGCCGCCGAGGGCTGAAGTGCACAGTGCCTATCCTCTGTTGAATCACTCACTAAGGACTTCCAAATTGCATCGGGAAGCAACATCAGCAAAAGAACTGTGCCTTAGGAGCTTCACGAAATGGGTTTTCATGGCTGAGCAGCTACACATAAGCCTAAGATCAAAATGCACAATGCCAAGTGTCGAATGGAGTGGTGTAAAGCACGCCACCACTGGACTCATATTCTGTGGAGTGATGAATCACGTGTGTCTATCTAGTAGTCTGATGGATGTGTCTGGGTTAGGTAAATCCCAGGAGAGCGTTACCTGCCAGACTGCATTGTATCAACTGTAAAATTTGGTAGAGGAGGGATAATGATATGGGGTTGTTTTCAGGGTTGGCCTAGACCCCTTAGCTCTAGTGAAGGGAAATCTTAATGCTTCAGCAGACCAAGACATTTTGTACAATTGTATGCTTCCAACTTTGTGTAGAACAGTTTTCTGTTCCAGCATAACTGAGCCCCAGTGCACAAAGCACAGTGCATAAAGGCATGTTTGGGAGAGTTTGGTGTGGAAGAGTTTGACTGGCCCGCACAGAGCCCTGACCTCAACCCCATCAAACACCTTTGGGATGAACTAGAAAGGAGATTGCGAGCCAGGGCCTCTTGTCCAACATCAGTGTCTGACCTCACAAATGCTCTTCTGGAAGAATGGACAAAGATTCCCACAGACACTCTCCAAAATCTAGTAGAAGCTTCCCAGAAGAGTGGAAGCTGTTACAGCTGCAAAGGGGACCAACTCCATATTAAAGCCTATGGATTTAGAGTGGGATGTCATAAAAGATCCTGTAGGGGTAATGTGTAGGTGTCCCAATACTTTTGTCCATATAGTATATATTAATCACACACACACACATGCACGTTTTGATGTGTCTTATAATGCAGTAGTAGAGAGTTGGTGAATGATGTGCTTGACAGGACACAGGATGTGCAGTGTCACCCTCTGTGGGCACGTCTCACCCTTGGACACACACACACACACACCATCGCCCGCTCACTGCAACCTCCGTCTGTATCACCATGACAACCGCCAGGGTGTCTTGCTTGTTCTTGGAGACCTGTCTTCCTGTCTGTTCCAGCTGGGTGCTGCACTCATGGGCACAACACACACACACACACACACCTTCCAGAAATGACCGGATCCGACCAGCCTCTCAGCACCACATTCTGTGTAGGTGCTTTGTAGTGTATGCCAACTTAAATCCAAAAAACTCTCTCTCTCTCTCACACACACACACACACACACACACATTTACGTGTTTGTTTTCATGCAGTGTCAGAACGTGGCATCATACCCATATGATTTATATATGTGTAAGCACCTATATATAATAAGTCCTATATGTAATAATAATATGTCTCATATGTACTATATATATCATAGCAACATGTATCTCTATTTTTTTTTTATTTTTATTTTAGAGCAGCAGCTGTCCTTCACATTGTGTTGACATTTCAGAAACGCTTCAAAAGTACTTGAAAACTGTCACTACATAGATTTACATTAAAAGTTAAGTTACTATATATATATATATATACATACACACTCATAGTCACTACATGGTCTCTCACACACACATTCTCACCAATCAAAGTGCCCTTCTCACAAATGACTGTAATCCTGCCACTTGGCAATCATTAGTCATGTTAAGTGGATGCTATTGTTCAGGCATGGCACTAATCGCTTTATGTTATACTACTTTGCATACAGTGGAGGTACGGAGCACAATCTATTCTAACAAATGTCTTTTCACTGGCTTTCAACTGCCAAGCAATGAGCGATAGCTACTCTGCACAGAGCCGTGATCTTTTCCGTCACCGAATGAGATAAGGAAGCAGGCTATTAGTATAGAAATCAATTAATCAAATATAATTAGCATAAGTGCAGACTACACACTCCGCAAGATGTAGCAGCTCAACACAATGTGCGTAGTTCATTAAACACACAAAGAAACATGGAACTCACAAATAGTAGAGGTTAGGACTGATTTATTTACACTGTGTTACTGTCTCAACATGTACAGAAACATACACATCAGCCATATTACCCATATTAACCCCTTAAAACCAGGCTTAGTACATCATAGGGCTTATTGTTCAGTAACAATAAGGACTACAATGCAAACTGTAAAGTTATTCTCAGATAATGAAAATGTGTAAATTATGTTTAGACCAGGGGTCGGTGGCTCTGTTGTGGCTCCACAGCAGAATTAGATTTTTAGGTAAAAATGAAATAATCCTCTTTTGCTGTAAAATAAAGCTCTGCTGATCGTTCTAACACAGTTTTAACAATAAATGGTCTTAAATGCTGGAGTTAATGTATAACTGCTAATTTACCTTTTAACCCTGAAGGTTGGTGTGCAGACTGCTGGTCACCATAGCAATGCAGATAACAATCTGCCCTAGCTAGTAGCTAATGAAAAGAGAGAGATTTAAGATGAATGGTGATAATTTTACTAATTTGCATTTATAATCACTCCAGCTGGTTTCCTGGGTATGTTTAATCTGCAACGTGAAACTGTCAAACACTAAAAAGTTGTGAAGCTGAAGTTCAGCTTCTCATTCACCAGCTTCTTGTTTGAATTTTCCTGCTCCACCTTAAATGGTGCAGCAGTTACATTCTGGTGCCTCAGGAACCATATAAGGTGGAACGGGAAAAAGTAAAAAGTCGAATGTTGAGAGACATTTTACAAGAAACTGTTCTACTTTTGTTGAAAAGTTTCCTGCTGGAGATGTGAGAAAAGCAGCTATATCTGTGCTGAAGTTTGAAGCAGAGCAAAGTAAGTCTGCGATTTTGTTTATATTATACTTTTAGCTTTTACTAGTACATACTGAGACATATTTACAGCCAAGATGATAAAATGTTGTGACTTCCATGGTGGTTTGATTTGATTTTTATTGAAAGGACAGAATGGCTCTTCTTAACATTTGGGTTGCCGACCACCGGCCTACAGTTCATTCATGCTTGAATGAAAGCCACTTGAAGAAGACTATCGTTGCTGTCCAAAGAAAAACGAGTGTCTACAAAATGGCAACTTTGAGGGGAGAGGACCCACTTTAAAGAATGATTCAGTGTTTTAACTTAAAAGAGTAAGTAACCTGATTGCCTTAACATTTTGAGTTCATTGAACTTCTTATAGTAAGTTAACAGAACAATAAACCTGTTTTACATTTTGTTAATGTATTATTTAAACTTTGGTGAACTCAAAATTTTAAGGCAACCAAGTTAAAACACTGAATCATTTTACAGTGCAAAAACGTTATTTACTTTTAAAGTAAGTAAATGTAAAGAGGTTTTATTCCTAACAGTTTTGGAGCATTGCTATTGGTCCATTCATCGTGAATTTTCAGACAATGTAAAGGGCAGCTGCTGTGCTCAAATGATACAGAAAAACAAAAATGGAAAATTTGAGGTATTTGTTTTTTTTGGACAGCTATGATATGCTATATTGGATTAGCCATTGGAGATGAATTGAATGTCCATCAAAATTTGGGGATAAGTCTTTAGAATTTTTAAAAATATTATTTGTTGTTACTATTACTTTTCAATTAAACAGGAAAAAAATACAAACAAAAGGTGTGTTAAACACAAAACCGCTACACTCTCAGGAAAAAAAGGTTTTAAGCTATCAC